GGTCTTTTCCAACCTTAATGATTCTGTGATTCTGTTAGCAAGGTGATACAGGGGCAGCACCTGTGCCCTGGGAGAAGCCCCAGGTCCTGGGGATGCCGTATAGGCACAGGACTTATAGGAGAGGAGGAAGGAGGCAGCCGACGGCAGCAGCACCGCACCCAGCTGCACTTTGCAGTAAAGCCCAAAGCATTTTTATGAGGAACGGGGGAGGAACAGCAGCAGGGATGGATGGAGACCTAACCTGTTCCCGTCTCCCCACCACGCATCCCAAGCAGAGCCGCTCTGGTCGCTCACCCGGAGCCGGACGACCTGGGTGACGGAGGGCTCGTTCTCCCGCAGGGCCCCCAGGTATGCCTCCTTCTGGAAGGTGGGGACATTGTCGTTGACATCGAGGACATTGATCCTGACGCGCCCTGTCGTCTCCTCCCCGCCACCGTCCCGGGCAATGACAGTCAGGGTGTAGCGCTGCGTGGTCTCGAAGTCCAGCCGAGCTGTCAGGAGGATTACGCCCGTGTCCTTGTCCAGCGAGAAACTGAGGGGATCGGAAAGGAGGGGGAAAGCCCTGGTGATGCTGGAGATGGAGAGGTGGGGTGGCAGCAGCCTCACAGCTAGCATCACAGTGGGTGAAGGGATATTTCTGCTGAGGGATATTTGGTCCCAGAGCACCTTCAAGAGCTCGGCACAGGTGGTGCGATAGAAACCCTCAGCGCTACTCTACAGGCAGAGCAAGTGGGCTCAGAGGCCCCCAGATCCCTTCTGCTGGGCAGCCCACATTCCTCCCCCAGCTGCCCACCACGACTGGACCTCATGCGATGCTCCAGGGCCAACAACTTGCTGGCAGGTGCATTTATCGGTCCCAAGCACCGCTGGTGCCTGCAGGTCCTGATTCAGCAAAGTGGTTAAACACGCTGAGCATCAGGCATGTGCTGAAGTTAACTCACCCCTTTGGGAGACAACGTAGTGGGGTTTTCATGGGGTATCTCACAGGTAGGACATAACGAATGTCCTTAATTGCCACGTGACTTCTCAGTGAGGCTAGAAGAGGAATTTGAAGAACCAAAGTCATGCTGGTGGTTCAGTCACACTTACCGGTCGGGGTCATCGCTGAAAAAATAACCGACTTTCCCGTATGTGCCCACGTCATTGTCAGTTGCCTGAAAAAATAAAAGTTAATTAATAAATGAAGGTACTTACGGGAACGCTGCGTTACCCACGCTGCTGAATCCGTTACCTCCTCTTTACCTCCTTCCACCCTGGCGCCAGCGGGCTGGCATCAGCGCAGACATCGTGCGCGGCCACGTATCACCTGAGAGATGCGGGGCTGGGGCCGCCTGTGCCCACCTGGGTTATCCTGTGCGTCCCTGACTCGCTGCTGCTCTGGATAACAGCCCTCCATCAACAGCTCTCAGCATCACTCCCGAAAACTTTGGCGTGGAAAATTTGACGTGTATGTACTTGCCCTGACATACTAAGCTGATCCGGGAAGCGCACGTGAAATAAAGGTCTCACTGGACAATTCTTGCAGGCTACCCATCCTGGCCCGGTGAAACCAAGAGCCAGGACCCTGCATACACAGCTCTTACCCGTCCCTGCACATTCAGGGCTGATGGCATGGGGAGAGAAATAAAAAAACCTAGCCTGCTTCAAAACTCCTCCAGGCTAAAACACAGGCTAAAGGCAAGGGAAGGAATTTAGACCTTGCTTTCCACAAGCGGCTCCCGCCGGACGGCCCTTCTGGGGGTTGCAATCTGCTGCAATCCCACCCGATGCACCGATGCCCTCGGGATGCTGCGGCACGGGCGTGCAGTGCCGGCTCCCCGCCACAGCGCGGCCGA